GCCATTTTCGTCAGTCGATCGACGACGATCAGGATCGCGTCATTTCCACTCGCCCCGGCTGGTAACCCTGTGACGAAGTCCATCGTCACCTGCTGCCAAGCACGCTCTGGAGGTGGGATTGGTTGCAGCTGTCCCGCCGGCCGCTTCCGGGTTGATTTCATGATCTGGCAAGTGGGACACAATGCCACGTGTTGCTGCACGTCGGTCAACATTTCGGGCCAGTAATAATACCGCTGCAGGTGCTGCCGTGTTTTTTCTACCCCGAAATGTCCCGAGGTGACTCCGTCATGTGCCTCCTGTAATAGTAATTCCCGTAGCAGTGTGTACCCTGGTACCCAGATACGCTCGGTCCCTGCTTTTACGTAATAGACTCCCTTGGCTGCTGCGAATTGTTGTGAATTTCCTCTTGTGAAGAATGGGTCCGTTTGATATCCGTAGGTAAATAGTCCTGTCAGTAGCGGGCTGGTCTGGGCGAGTAGTACCGCATGGATCTGGGCAGTGGGGCGGGTCCGTGCGTCAGCGATGTTCGAGGCTCCTTTTTTATAGGTGATTGTATAGTGGAAGTTTTACTCGAGGAAATCGAGCCACCGAATCTGTCGTGGGTTGAGGTGGGGCTGTGCGCGGAGGTACTGTAGTGATCGGTGGTCTGTCCGTACTGTCACGTCTGCGCTGGTCAAGTAGCAGCGCCACACTTTGAACGCATGCACGATCGCGAGCATTTCGCGGTCGTGTATCGGGTAATTTCGTTCGGGCGGATGAAGTTTTCGTGACTCGTATGCGATGGGCTGTAGTCCGTTGCCGAAGTCATGTAGCAGTACGGCTCCGATGGCGATGTCGCTTGCGTCGGTAACAACCTCGAAGGGGCGTTGTGGGTCGGCGATGCGCAAGATGGGCGGTGAACATAGAACATTTTTCAGAGCAGAGAAGGCAGCATGCGCTTTCTCCCCCCACGTAAAAACGACCTCCTTTCGAAGTAAATCTGTCAGCGGGGCGGTTAATTGTGCCATGTCGGGGACGAACCGGCGAACATAAGTAACAAACCCTAAAAAACTCTGCAGCTCCGTGATGTTCGTCGGAGGACGCCACGCCTTGACCGTATCCAGCATCTTTGGGTCGATTTCAACTCCAGCCTCCGAAATAACGTGCCCCAAAAATTCTAGTCTGTCCCGAAAGAACTCGCACTTAGAGCCTTTGGTGAGTAACCGATGTTCCTCTAAAATTTTAAATACTGCTTCGAGATTCGCTAAGTGCTGCAGCTTGTCGCGACTGTAGAGGAGGATCTCTTCGAGGTAAACTATCACGCATTTATCTAAGAGTGGCCTAAACGCCTCGTTCATGGTCATCTGAAATGTTGCAGGCGCGTTGGTCAGCCCGAAAGGTATCACCGTTAACTCAAACGACCCGTACCTAGTCCTAAATGCTGTCTTGGCGCAGTCCGATGGTTCGGCCCGAATCTGATGGTAACCCCCCCGTAAGTCTATTTTCGAAAACACCCGTGCTGTTCGCAGTTGGTCAATCAGTTCGTCGGTGCGGGGAATGGGGTACCGCGATTTGACTGTTACCCTGTTGAGCGCTCGGTAATCGATGCACATGCGAAACCCTCCGTCTTTTTTCGGTGTGAACAGTATTGGTGCGACGAACAATGACGAACTTATTCGGATAAACTACTTCTCTAACAAAGAATCTAACTGCTTCCTTAGTTCGTCCAGCTCGGGCTGTGTCAGTCTGAACTGGCGCTGTACGGTTGGCTGTGCCCCTGGTTCTAACTCGATCCTATGATCATGCGCCCGCTGAGGTGGCAGCCCTTCCGGTAAGTCGTCTGGCTGCTCCTCTTCGCCCACTAATGCTATATCCACTGCGTACACGTGAGCTCCAGCAGCGACAACCCGTTTCATCGTGATGGCGTTGACGTGGACCGTTGAGGACTCGGGTGACTGCCAGCGAGGTAGTTTGACAGAGTTACCACTACTTCGCACGGTGCAGCTACCCGTCGTCCAGTCAATTCGCGGGTTATACCGTCGCAGCCAATCACGTCCCAGTAAAATATCATGCCCATCTAGTGTCGTTGCGAGCATTTCGTGTGTAAACCCGAAGTTTCCCCTGCAGCGGACTTTGACTCGCTCTACCTTTTCCCGTCTGGCCAGTAGCGTGCCGTTGACTAAGCGTGTGTCTATCTCTGGTAAGCAACGGTTAAGAGTCAGTTGTACTTTTCGTGCGGTTGCGGTATTAACTAAACTGTGGCTTGCTTCTTCGTCGATAAAAATCTTCACTGCTGCTCCCTGTATCTTCCCGTGGATCAGTAGTGGGCAATCCGTCGCTGTACCCTCCTTATTCATCCGAGCCTGATCGATGGCGAGAATCGGTACTGTGACTCGGTGAGGGTCGGTGCGGTTGGGCGAGTTGACAGTCTCGTCAGTAGTTGGCCCAACTTCTACTGACTGCTGGCGTTTCCCTGCCTCTAAGACTCCCTCCCCTGCTCTGCACCGCGGCGCCTTAGCTCCTCTGGGCATTCGCTCTTGCGATGGCCCGGCCTGTTGCAAGCAAAGCAGCGCCCCTTACACGCTGCGGCAGCTACATTCGTTGCAACAGCGTGTACAGTGGCGTGCTCGATCGGTCCCCGAGGGCGATGTCCGTAGTAGAACCCCGGTCTCGCTCAGCATAGAATGTCGATTTTCTCGGTGAGCGCGAGAATCTCATTGAAGTTTGAGAGTCCGCGCAGCATGATTTTGTGCGAGATATCCGGCTTCAGCCCTCCAACGTAACGGTCCACCCGCTCCGCTTCGTGCATGTAACCGACCTGCTCGCAAAGTGCGAGAAAACCGCTCGTGTAATCTTGAACCGACCTGATCTGTCGCCAAGTGCGCAATCTCTGACGCGCCGAAATGGAAGCCGGAATCGGCTCGAAGCGCGCCCGAAGCCTTGCGCACCACGCATCCCACGTGCTGTATTGGGCGGTCGCGCAGAATGAACTCCATGTGACAGCTGGACCCGTGGGCCCTTCCTCTTGCGACGGTGGCTCGTAGGCGCGTGGCGACGTCACAATGACTCGCCACCAGTCCATGGCGGGGCCCCTTAACAGCGAAACTGCATACCGAATCTTTGCTGCGTCCGACTCGACGTAGTTCGCGTCGAAGAAGACATTCACCGTGAAGACCCACGATTGATCCGTTGGACCTCCACGTTGGCTTGGGTCGAAGCAGGGCGAGCGTTGCGGCTTGAGTGGCATGGGTGCCATAATGGCCTGTTCGCCACTTGTCGCCGCGAATTCCACGTGCCGACGAGCTTCACGGGGCTCCCTCGGGCTTGGTGCGACCCTGCTTCCTCCCATGTCAGGCATCGGCTGGGCGGCGCCATCACTGGCTGCGCCTGAGCGTTGTCCCATGCTGTCGTGTTGCATTGGTGTGCCGGACGAAATGACGATCGGCTCGTCCGATTGTGCAGATGCATTTGTCGGTGCGTGTGATGGCGCTGGAATGTTTACCGTGGATTGTTGACGGGCGGAGTCACGTTCCGCGGTGAGCGTCGCAATTTCAAGCGCCGAATCTTCAAGTTGGCGCACCAGACGGTCAAGCTGCTCCTGCGTCAATGTGGCGAGCGTGAATTCGGCCATGGCGGGGGTGTCGGGCGAGCTCAGTGAGAGCCTCGGTCGTGGCCGTGCGTGCTTACGAGAGAGCACTACGAGCGGCGGTGCTGTGTCGCTGAGAGACGTCTACCCCCCCAAAAAAATGAGATAGTGGGGAAGCAAAGGTGTGGGTGCGGTCCGAGAGGAGATCGTAGGCTCTGAATACCAAGTGTTACGAGTGCAATTGAGTTAACGAACGAGAATTGCACTATCGAAGCAAGAGTACAATGAGCGATGGTATGAGCGAAGAATATATAGCGAAACTACAGTGGTAACGGTAATGGACTGTGGTTGTCGCACGACGGGCCTGTGACTGAGGTTGGGAAAATTGTCGAAGCAGAGGCCCGGAGCGCGGGTTACCCGCCGAGCCGTGAGGTCGGGGTGCAATGTGCGAAAGTGGCGGGCGGATTGTCGATGCGAGGATTGCGAGTGGTAGCGGTGCTAACTGTGGTGCTACAGTGATGTACGCGTTGAGCTGGGATGCGAAGTAAGGAAAAGGAATTTTCTTTACATTCTACAAAGCACTGCGGCAAAATATGAAATGCAGATGCAAAAGTGTAGACAAACGCAAGAATTAGGGTGGACAACCCTTTGCCTCAAGCATTTGCTGCCGCGTTATCCGCAATTTCCATCGACGGACTTGACGCGCCCGTGTCAGGTGGTCAACCGGTTTCAACAGGCGTGACAAGTGGAGTTTCCACCTGCAATCTAAACTTCCAGCACGCCGTGACAATCGGTCGAGCATGTTGCGAATCGTGAATTGTGGTGTGATCCACTTTGCCCTCGCAGGTAGGGAAAATTGCAGGAAATCAAGTTCGCCAGCCTCATCTTTACAGTAACCAGCGTCGCGACGCTCGCCACTCCACCGTCGCAACTCCCTGGCCTCTGAAACATGGAACAGCGAAGCTCACGGAGTTCACCTGGCGCGAAAGTACATTTCCCGCCAACCATGAGTTCCAACCATTTCCTGTGTACTTTGTTGAGCAAGGGCGAGCCGCGTTCTCACCACCCTCCTATAAAACCACCCGTCCCTCCCATCGTTATCATTAGTTCTCATATCAATAATCATTCTCTGTTCACTACGATTTCCTCTTCTTTTTTTCTCGTCATCCGCTCCTCTCGTTAGTTCGTTACGCTTCGAGAAACGTCGGATTTACAATGGGTTACACGATGCGAGGCATATCTTTGCTGCTGCTGCTTCTCGCGCTTTTCGTAGCGTCAGCCTCCGTCGCGCCTGGTAAGATCCCGCGACTTGTATCACGACCTTTTCACCAAAAACAGTTTCCTTCTCCCAGATGAGACTTCCGTTTCCTCGCACCTTCTCCCCTTTCGCGCAGTTTTCTTTTCTGATACTCTGAATTGGTTTTGACTCTGTAAGATGTCGCCCGATTCTTCCGCGTTTTCTCCTTCTCGCGCAGTTTTTGGAAGGACCTTATCTACTCGTCGCAGCCTCGCCCTCAAGGCCCTCTCGCTCGTGAGCTTTCCGGGATCGTCAACCATTACTCTGCTAGCAAATCCCGGAGACACTGGCGGAGATATCGGCGGAGATATCGGCGGAGATACCGGCAGTGGCGGCGAAATTGGGGGAGGGGGCGATGCGGGGGAAGGCGGAGAACCTGGCGGACCTGGCGGAGACGTCGGCGGCGATCAGGGCGGTCCTGAGGGCCCCCCTGGTGGCGACAACGGGGATACCGCCAGTGGCGGAGATCCCGGCAGTGGCGGCGACGTTGGGGGAGGCGAGGACGGCCCGCCACTGATCGGCGCTGGCGGAAAGGGAGGAAAGGGCGGAAAGGGAGGGAAAGGTGGAAAGGGCGGAAAGGGAGGAAAGGGCGGAAAGGGAGGGAAAGGGGGCAAGGGGGGAAAGGGAGGGAAACCTGGTAACCAGCAGGGTGGAGCTGGCGGAGAGCAGGGGGAAGCTGGCGGAGAGCAAGGGGGAGCTGGCGGAGAGCAGGGGGGATCTGGCGGACAGCAGGGAGGATCTGGTGGAGAGCAGGGCGGGGCTGTTGAGGGGCAGGGGGGGTCAGGGGGGGCGGATGGTAGCCAGACTGGGGGCATAACGAGCACCGGAAAGGGCGGAAAGGGAGGAAAGGCTGGGAAAGGCGGAAAGGGTGGGAAAGGAGGGAAAGGGAGCAAGGGGGGAAAGGGAGGGAAACCTGGTAACCAGCAGGGCGAACCTGGCGGAGAGCAAGGGGGATCTGGCGGAGAGCAAGGTGGGGCAGGCGGAGAGCAGGGGGGATCCGGCGGAGACCAGGGAGGACCCGGCGGAGAGCAGGGGGAATCTGGTGGAGGGGCTGGCGGGGAGCAGGGTGGGGCGGATGGTAGCCAGACTGGGGGCACAACGAGCACCGGAAAGGGCGGAAAGGCTGGGAGGGGCGGAAAGGGTGGGAAAGGAGGGAAAGGGGGCAAGGGTGGAAAGAAATAAAAGCTTTTGCAACACATAGGTTGTACCACTGTTTCTTCTTGTACCATTATTGCAGCCAAGTCCATATATGCTGTACTTTCCGAAACCTTCGTGTAAGAATGCCAAAGCACAAAGAGACAGAAAAAACCTTCCCTGGTTTTTCTTCATTTCGGGATGCTCCGTGCATGGTTCACATGGGGGGTCATTGCAGCCTCTGTATCATTGCATGGTTCTTTGTGTCTCGTGTAACCCTCAGTACTCCAACCGAACATCGCCACAAGCTAATATTTTCTCATGTGTCTTATCTCATCCTAACATGCTCCGTGCATGGTTCACATGGGGGGTCATTGCAGCCTGCGTCGCCTTCCTATTGGCCTCTCTGGTGCATGTGTGCATACAACCCTCCCTCATCTCTCCCCATTCGCATTCACATGGGGGGTCATTGCAGCCTGCGTCGCCTTCCTATTGGCCTCTCTGGTGCGTGTGTGCATACAACCCTCCCTCATCTCTCCCCATTCGCATTCACATGGGGGGTCATTGCAGCCTGCGTCGCCTTCCTATTGGCCTCTCTGGTGCGTGTTTTCATACAACCCTCCCTCATCTCTCCCCATTCGCATTCACATGGGGGGTCATTGGAGCCTGCGTCGCCTTCCTATTGGCCTCTCTGGTGCCTGTGTGTGTGCACGAAACCCTCATTTTTTACCATTCTTATTCGCACGCGCTGGGACCGTCGAACGAATTTTGAGGCGCCTCAAACGTTCCCATTGTCATTGTGCGTAGGTGCCTCGAACGCTTCTATACGAGTGTATTCATGCCACTCTCAGTGCAGCACGTATCGTATCGTATTGTATCGTATCGTATCGTATCGCATCGCATCGCCTTCATGTTGGCCCTCTGATTCGTGGATTGCATGCATCAAACTCGACAAATATTTATTTGTTTCATGCTTAGGTCCCCCCTCCATTCCCTCCCTCCGTTCCCTCCCTTCCTTTCCCTCCCCAGGTTCTTCTATGGGACGGCCTTGTTGCTTCCCTCCTCGTCCCTCTCCTCCGCCACCTCTCCACCTCATCCCAGCACCTAGCGGAACAGCAGCGCTTTTACCCTCACACCCACTCTCACAACCACTCTCACTACAGTCACATCCCTTCTGCTATAAACACCTCTTTCGGACCTTCCTCTCCTGTCGTCGCCCTCTCTAGAGCAACGGGTGCTGCAGCGTCCCTTGCAGCACAGCACGCGTCCCATGCAGCACAGCAAGCCGTCCAAGCAGCAGAGACACACCCCACTGCCCCAGCAGAGCCAGCAACGTCCGCCACTCCTGCTGCGACCTCTTCCTCCCTGCATCTTCTACAGCCTGTGGTGAGTGAGTGAGTGAGAGAGTGAGTGAGTGAGTGAGTGAGTGAGTGAGTGAGTGAGTGAGTGAGAGAGTGAGTGAGTGACTGAGTGAGTGAGTGAGTGAGTGCTGAGGAGGGCTGGCACTGGCATTGGCACTGAAAGCGTGCCTTGCAACACAGCAAGCTGTCCAAGCAGCACAGCAAGCTGTCCAAGCAGCACAGCAAGCTGTCCAAGCAGCACAGCAAGCTGTCCAAGCAGCACAGCCACACCCCGCTGCCCCAGCAGAGCCAGATGCGCATGCTGCACGGCAAGCAACCGCCCCTGCCTCTGCTGCGACCCCACCATCCTCGCTTCACGTGCTACAGCCAGTGGTAGTGAGTGAGTGAGTGGGTGGGTGAGTGAGAGGCGCATGCTGCAAGGCAAGCAACCACCCCTGCCTCTTCCTCTGCCTCGACCCCATCGTCCTTGCTTCACGTGCTGCAGCCGGTGGTGAGTGAGTGAGTGGGTGAGTGAGTGGTGGTTGGGTGAGTGGGTGGATTGAGTGAGTGAGTGAGTGAGTGAGTGAGTGAATGTGTGACTGAGTGAGTGCTGAGGGGGGCTAGTACTAGCACTGGCATTGCAAGCGTCCCATGCAGCACAGGCACAGCAAGCCTTCCCATTCCAAGTAGCAGAGCCACACCCCACTGCCCCAGCTCAGCCAGATGCGCATGCTGCACGGCAAGCAACCACCCCTACCTCTGCCTCTGCCTCGACCCGACCGTCCTCGCTTCACGTGCTACAGCCTGTGGTAAGTGAACGAGTGCGTCTGTGTGTGGGTGAGTGGGTGGTGAGTGAGTGACTTAATGATTGAATTGAGTGTTAGTGAGCTGGTGGGTGGGTGGTGAGAGCTGAGGACAAGTGGGTAATCCTTACCTGTCCTTACTTCCACCCCTCTTGTTCGTTGCTTCCTTCACTCCACCTCCCCATTTCTCACTCTCCTCTCACCACTTCACCCCCCTCTCCTTTTCCGCCCCCCTCTCCACCTCTCTCCCCCTCCCTCCCTCCCTCCCTGCTCTTTTCCTCCCCCGAACCGTTCCATACCTGGCCCCCACGTGGAGCAACAGCTGCCAGGTGTCAACATGCCATTGGCCGATCTCGGGTACCTCTTTATAGCCACGCTTATCAGCCTGGCGTGGCATGAGGCAGGGCACGCCGTAGCTGCTGCCGTGGGAGTGTAAGTGTCGTGGGAGTGTGTGTGTGTGTGTGTGTCTGTGTGTGGTGTATCTAGTGGTGTGATAATACATGCTAACATAGGGGGCTGCTTATCAGCCTGGCGTGGCACGAAACAGGCCATTCTGTTGCTGCTGTTGTGTCAGTGTAAGTGTCATATGTGTGTGTGTGATTCTGGGTTTTTTAGGCGCCTCAAAAGTTGTCATATGCGCGTGTGATTCTGGGTTTTTTAGGCGCCTCAGAAGTTGTCATGTGCGCGTGTGATTCTGGGTTTTTTAGGCGCCTCAAAAGTTGTCATGTGCGCGTGTGATTCTGGGTCGAAGTGTGGCTGTGTGAGACGCCTCAAGTCAGCGTGTGCGTGGAAGTGTGGGGTTGTCCGCATGAGTGCAAGCTGTCATGCTTGAATGTCACACGAGTGTGGGAGGGAGTGCGAGTGCAGCATGATGTGGCATGCGTCCTCCTCGCCCTGCTCCTTAATCTGTTGTAACTCTTCCAATCCCTTCACCCCAACCCCCCCTCCCTCCCGCACATTTGTCCACCCCTGTCCGCTACCCACAGAGAGGGAGTGAGGGTGCAGCACGTGGCGTGCTCCTCCTCACGCTGCTGCTCCCCAGTCTCTTCCCCCTGCCAACCCATTTCTTTCCCCACGTCTCGTCTCACTACAGGGAGGGCATGCTCCCAGGAGTCCACGTCGCCTTCCATCCCTCTTGTAGCTCACTTTCCTGTTTTCCTCTCCTCCCTCCCTCCTCCCCCGCTCCCCATTCAGAGAGGGAGTGCGAGTGCAGCACGTGGCATGCTTCCTCCTCGCTCTGCTGCTCCCCGGAGCACACGTGGCCTTCCATCCCGCCGACTTCCACGCCCTGCCTCCCTTTCGCCTGCTGCGAATCCTCTCTGCCGGCATATGGCACAACATGGTGGTGAGTGCTGGCATATGGCACAACATGGTGGTGAGTGCTGGCATATGGCACAACATGGTGGTGAGTGCTGGCATATGGCACAACATGGTGGTGAGTGCTGGCATATGGCACAACATGGTGGTGAGTGCTGGCATATGGCACAACATGGTGGTGAGTGCTGGCATATGGCACAACATGGTGGTGAGTGCTGGCATATGGCACAACATGGTGGTGAGTGCTGGCATATGGCACAACATGGTGGTGAGTGCTGGCATATGGCACAACATGGTGGTGAGTGCTGGCATATGGCACAACATGGTGGTGAGTGCTGGCATATGGCACAACATGGTGGTGAGTGCTGGCATATGGCACAACATGGTGGTGAGTGCTGGCATATGGCACATCCAAGCACTGCTCTTCTTCCGCTCTACTCCTAGTCCCCCCCCAGGCCTCAAGGTACGTCCCTCCCCGTATGTTCCATTTCCTAGTAAAGAACGACTCTGCGTTTGCTTCAAGCCGTGTGCCTCAAGCCGTGTAACTCCATCATGCCTTTCCCCCGTTATAGTCACATATGACATCCGTGTGTGGTTTCTTCCCACCCCACCCCCAGGTTACATCCGTGCATCCGCTCTCCCCTCTCTTCAGTCACATTCGCCCAGGAGACTCCTTACTAGCTCTGGACCACACTCCGCTTTCCTCTCCTGCCGACTGCACTCATCTCCTCTCCCATCTCTCCCACCTCTCCAATCTCTCCTACCCTCTGCCTCCTTCCATCCCTCCCTCACCTCCTTCCCGTGGGTATTGCATTTCCCTTTTGGCCAATCACGAGCTGCCACCTGGATTCCTGACTCCTCCGGCCTTTCCGGCCAATGATAGCATCCCACCAATCGCTTCATCTGCACCAATCCCCAGCTCTTTCCTAGAACCTTCCCACCAGCATCCTCATCATTCCAACGTGGAGCCATTCCCACCACCTCGACCAATCTCCTGTGATGCCTCGTTTCCTGGAACCACCCTTTTCCGGCGAGCTCCAGCTGGCGAGGCAGAACCTTCCCCGCAGCATCCTGGCAGTGAACCGCACGAAGAGGAAGCTTTCGTTCAGGTTCTTGGTGATGAATCACAGCACCGAAAAGAAGGTTCTCGGATGGTTCCGACCACGGCGTGTTTGCGTCCAAGGGAAGTGGTCGAGAGAGGGAGGAGATGCGGATGGGGGTGGGTGGATGGATGATGAGGGGAACGATCAACGACAATGCGAAGAGGTGAGTGTGAAGGAGCAATGAGAGCTTTACTCTCAGATGGTCCCTGCCATGGCATGTTTGCATCCTGTCCTTCCCCATCCCTGACAGCTGCTCCTCGCCATCTTCTGCTCCTCGCCGTCTGCTGCTCCTCACCATCTGCTGCTCCTCACCATCTGCTGCTCCTCGTACGGTTTCGGATATCTTTCTCTCTCTCTCTCTCTCTCTCAAACGGTCCTTTGTATTAGTTCAGCAGGGGTACAAACATGCGGTGCTATCCATGATAGCCTCCATCCCTTAAGCCCCGAAGCTCACCACTCTTCACCCCCCCCCAGAGTGACCCTCTCTCTCGAATGGTCCTTGCATTTCTTTGGGGGGTGGTACAACGGAAGGTGCAAAACACACAAGCACAAGCTCAACAGAAAACCGGCATCCTAACTATTCCAAGTCCCCTACCTACTCTGCCCCCCCCCCTGTCCGACCCTACTGGTCGAACGGGGCCTCAATCAACTGGTGCAGCTGTCCCTCACTGAGAGGGATGATGGGTCCTCTAAAACCGAGCTCGTCCGCCGCCAAGGCCTCATTGGTCTTGGTGCGGAGGGCGTTGGCCTGTGCCCGCTAGAGGCACACGCTCCAACGCTGGCGGTACTCCGTCAGCAGCTTCGCTGCTTCGTAGGAGGTAGGGGCTGCGTTAAGCCGCAGCTTTGCCGCCAGCTCCGCGCATTGCCGCAGGTAAGCCAGCACCCCCGGCGAGGGGTAGCCGTATGTTTCCACTGCGAGCGCGTGGAACCCCACCCACGTGTTCCGCCGTGCGTACTTCTCCTCCTTTTTTGCCGCTGCCGCCCTAGCTGCCCAACCAGGAGCTCGGTTGCAGTTCTCGTCCTGGTATGACATCGGGTCCGTCACGGTCACGTCGCACATCCAAACCTCCCCGGTCAGTGGATGACGGATGGTGACATCCGCCTTTAGGTTTTCAACCAGTGAGTAGACATACGTCTCCTTATGAACCGTAAAACCCGCCTCAGCCCCGATATTTGCTATCTCATCCCGCAGAGCGTGATGGGTAGCGGTCCTCCCTTTCCCCTTCTCGCAGCGCATGAGGTGGTTGGGGAGGCGGTCGTCGGGGAAGGTGGTGCGGTAGCGGCAGTCACAGCGTCTAGGCACTGGGAGGGGGAGTCCTAGGCGGAAGGCAGCTGCAGTTGAGAGCTGGGAGGGGCCCATTCGGAGCGAGGGGATGAGCGGGATCGCCAGCAGCCAATCCCTCGCTCCTGGGCCTAGCACCGACTGCATCCGTTGCGCATGGCCTGAAAGGGGGTTGGGGCGCATCCGCCTTGCCTCGCGCATGGCCCTCAAGAAGCAGCGGGAGTGAACCGCCAGCGCTAGGCTCTGCCGTAGCTTCAGTCCCTTGGGGTCTGTCTTCCCGGCCTGGAGCACCTCGAGAGCCTCGGGTGGGAGAGCTGCCTCAGCCGCGGCGAGGCGTGCAGGCAGCGCATGCGGGGAGCCGTGGGTAGGGTCCAGTAGGGGGAGGAGCGCGGCGACAGCAGGGTGTAACGACTCCTCTAGGGAGTATAGAAGGTGGGCGGCGCTGATCACTGAAGCGAGGTAAGCGTAGCTGCCTTCAACGGCGGGGTCAGTGATGCCCAGGCCTCCCAGAGTCACGGGCAGGGCCGCCTGCCGCCAAATCCTCCGCCTCTCCCGGGCACTCCTCGGTCTCATGATGTGGGCCGAGTCCAGGAAGGTGTGTAGGAGCTGCTCCCCCCAAGCTGACCATTCCGCTTCAGGGAGAGCTTCCAAGGGGGTGGTTCTGGCCAGAAAAGAGGCTCGGCGGCTGACACAGCGGGTGAGGAGGAGGAGGCTAAGCTGGGGGTCCATCTGGGCCAGCAGGGGGAGTGGGGATGCTGCTACTGCCAGTCTCTCTCTCACGGCACCCGCGCACCCCCGGGGTGTGCCAACCGGGCTGCCGAGAATCTGCAGTCCCTCATCAGAGATAGTAATTCCCGGGGGCACTGCAGAGGGGTCGATTGGAGCGGCGGACCACGCCGCACATTTGGCCGGGTTGTGTACCAGGCCGAGGGCGGCAAGTGCGGATGTGAGGTGGTCAAAAGCTGCTGTGCAGGCTGAGGCGTCGCTGAGCTGCGTGATGTCATCGGCGTACGCCAGCAGGACCACCTGAGGGTGTGCCGCCGCCGTGGCAATGAGGCACGGGTGGATGCTTGCCGCGAACAGGAGGGGGCCGAGCAGGGCCTCTTGGCGAACTCCTCTGGCGCTCTGCAGCGGGGCTGCGCCGAAGTCGTGGTCGAGGTAGAGCGAGGAGGGAGCCCCGTAGGATAGGCGGACGAGGGGGATCAGCTTCTTCAGCGCCTTGTTTCTCAGTCCTTCGAACACCGCTCTCCTTTCGACCGCGTTAAAAGCGTTCGCGAGGTCGATCTGCAAGGCCACTGCAGCAGGGTGCACTTCCAGGTACGTGCGAGCGGTGTGGATAGCCGCTTCGATCCCCCCTGCTACTGCCACGCCGAATTGAAGGGGGGCAAAGTGAGTACGGGCGGCTGGCGCGGTCAGGAAGAGGGCGGCCTTTGCTATAATCCGGAGGAGATACTCCCCCACCGCTATTGGCCGCGTCCCTCCTTGGGGTTTCGTAAAGGCTAGCAGGCAGGAGGCCGTGAGAAGATCCCCCGCGGCTGTTGGGAGTTTCCCTGCTAGAGCTGTGTTGGAGAGGGCGAGGAGGTGGGAGAGTACTTCGGCATTCCCTAGGGCTGCGTCGCGGATATGCTCGAAAGTGGTTCCTGAGGGGCCGGCCCCGACTCCGTTGGGGAGCTTGGCGAGGAGGCGCCTGAAGTCGCGGGCTTCGATAGTGGGTGGGTCTTCAGCCGAGGCGGTGTGGAGCCAGTCAGGGAGAAGCTGGCTGGCAGGTGGATGTCTCGTCGCGAGGGCTTCCAGCACTTCAGGTGAGGCAGGTGACACAGGGGTGGCCTAGAGGGATTGGAGTGATTTTGACAGGTTACCCCGTTTTGCCAGACCTTCCGCCCGTGCCAGTATTCCAGTTGTGTCGAGTGAGTGGCGAGGCTGCGGAGGCAAGGAAATCGCCTGGACAGCTTCTTCGTATAGGTCCGCCTAGAGCCCTTGGCGAAATCGCAGGAGCCGATTCATCATCGCGCTCCAGTCAGGTTTACGGGCTGACGAGGTGCGAAGGAGTATGCGCGGGAGAAAGGTCAGTAGTTTCCATCCTGGTGCAGACTCGCGATTGGCTGCCAGGTGGAGTCACGGCGTCAACATACAGATCGCGAAGGAGTCGCGAAGGTCTTTGGGGGGGTGGCGAGCGAGAGGAGATTGGCGACTGTCACGCAGCGGGTCGAGGTCCCAGACTGCAACCTGAGCGAATAGCTCAGAGTTTTTCGCCAGGTCGTCAGGTTTGAGCATCGGGGGGGTTGGACTCGGGGCTGCGGAATTTTCATTGGCTGTTGCTGAGTCAATTCTTTCTTCTGGAGCGGCTCGATTTCCCCTCCTTGCTTGAATTCCCCCCGCGGTTCGATTCCGAACTGAGGTTCGGTTTGCAGGTTCACCTCTGGCCTGCTGGTTTGGGAGCTCCGCTTCCCGCAGCAGCTCCAACTCTTCCTCGTCCTCCTCGGCCTCTGCTTCTAACATCCCCTCGCTTTCAGGGTTAAAGGCAGGGTCCCCCTCTTCACTTTCCTCATTCTCCACTTCCTCCTCTGCTTCCTCGCTAAGTGGTTCCACGTCGCCCTCCGCGCCGTTTTGCATCAGCCTTTCCACATTCCTCGCGTAGCCGCTTGCACCAGATCGGCGCCTGTTCGAACCTCGTGCTCCACCACCTCTTCGTCCTCTCTCGTTGCCTCGTCGTCCGCGGCGGCTGCCGCGTCCTACGCGGATTCCCCGCGTTGCTCGTCCCACAGCAGCTCCCTCGCGCCCTGTCTGCGGCGCCGCAGCCGTCTCGTTTTCGCTTCGTCGCCGCACTGGCGTCGGCTGCGGTAAGATCGGGGGTGATGGACCCATCCGTGAGACGGGATCCGGAGCTGGAGGGTTCCGCGGAGAGCTCGCTACCGCAGCCTGCGCCTGCCGGGCCTCGTCCGCGTCTCCCTGCGCACCCCTCCGCGAGCGAGCCCGTGCACCACTTTGAGCGGGTTCAAACGCTTCCCCATCGTCCTGCCGCGCGCCCCGCCTCGCCGGAGTATTCGTGGGCGCCTGCTCGTGTTGCGTCGAACCGCCCGGACGGTCAGCCGCGGCAGGAGCGCGGGTGCTCGCCTCTGCGGCACCCTCAACAGCCGCCCTCTCCTCGCCGCCCTTCTCCTAAGCGTCGCGAGAACTATCAGCGCGGGGAGGGGGGTAAGCGTTCTCCTGCACGTCCTCTCTCCCCTCGACGCCCATCCCCTCGTGGTCAGGCAGGCCAGCGCTCACCGCGAGCGCGATCCCCCGCGCAACGTTCTCCTCGGCTATCTCCGGCGACGCGGGGGAGGGGGTCGCCTGGTCGTCGCTGGGATTCGGGTCGCCGCGAGCAGTCCCCCCCGCGTCCACATTCGGCTGGTTCTGGGGGACGGCGGGGCTGGCGGAAGGGCGGAGGGCGAGGCGGGAATGGCAACCAGCCTGATCCAGCCCTCGATCATGCTGCGGACACGTTCGTGGAGGTGGTGAGGCAGGCCCGGGCGAGTGGGGCGCCGACTCACGTCCATATTGAGGTGACCAACGGTCCCCCCTTCGCCGCGGACCCAGGCCAGGTCGCTCCTCTGCGTGCGCCGACGCTGCGCGAGTATCAGCCCGCGCGTGAGGGGAGGGCTCAGTTCCGCACCCCCCGTTAGGTTCCCGGCTTCTCTGCGCCGCGCTTGGCTGTTGGCCGGACTCTTGGCTGGTCGGCGGCATTTCCGCGCGAAGCGCAGACTGCACCTCTCCCCACTCGCGCGGGGAGAGACCCCATGCTGACCATGTGCCGGGTTCTGAATCTGGCGGAGGCGTGCGAGGTGGTGGCGAACTTGCAGCTGGCGGTGTGTGGGGCCACGAGGAGCTTTCCGAGCAGTTTTGGTCCAGGGACCCGAGGATCCTGCGTGACTTTGGCAGAATCACTCGAGTCGCCGTTGGCACCCGTATCGGACGCGCCCGCCGGGGTAGCTCCCTTAGCCCGTACTTTCCCCCGCCACGTGGGGGATCTTGTAGGGGCTGCTCAAGCCGGGACCCCCTTGGACACGCTCCAGTCGTCGGCGCATCTCCTTCTTGCGTTGTCGGCGTGCATGCGCTCGATGCTTGAGGTGGAGGGGGCGGAGCCGTACACGATGTAGGCCTCCGCCGTGTGTAGAATTGCATGCCGCGCCTCTTGCTCCTGCCCAGCTCCTTGCCTTTGTGTGTGTGTGTGCCCTATATAAGCCGATCCTCCGTTTTGTGTCTTGCCACCAGAAACGCGCGCCGCCGGCGCGAGCCGCGGAAAACTGAGAACACACGAAATAATGAGGAGAAGAAGGCACCAAGGGCCCTTAAAGCCACCGCCTCCCTCCCTCTCTCTCTCTCTCTCTCTCAAGCGGTCCGTGTATTAGATCTAAGCACAGTACAGACATGCACAAGGTTATAAGGAGCAATGCACCTCAGCCTCTATAACCCCCATATCCTACCTACTCTCGTTCACCCTCTAAGGCAGCTCCAGTGCAGGCTCCAGGATGGCAAGGCAGTCCCCGAGGGACATGCCTTCGCCCGGCAGCGCCACTGGTGGGCTCTCTACCTGAGCCGCATAGTTGCACTTCGTCATGAAGCTCACCGACTGTGCCCGCTGCAGCGCCACGGACCACCGCTGGCGGAACTGATGCAGCAGCTTTGTTGCTTGGTAAGATGAGGGGGCCGCGTTGAAGAGCCTGCGCGCGCCGGTGTTGGCCAGAAGTTTGAGGAATTGAGGGACCTCCGCGCAGGGGCAGCCGTAGGTATCAACGGCGAGAGGGAAGAATCCGACCCACGAGGCCGTTGAGCCCTCGTAGTCGGAGATCTTTTTCTCTGCCGCCTCTCTGGCCGCCCACCCCCTGCCCTTAACCGCGTTGGGATCCCGTGTGCTAATGGGGTCCGTGATGGTCACGTCCCCTATCCACACCGCCCCTGAGGACTTGTCCCGGATCGCTATGTCTGCTTTCTTAAGGGTGACGGGGCAGAACGTGGTCGTCTCACTGTGAGTCATGAAATCAGCGTCGGCGGCCATGTGCAGACACGCATCGCGCAGTTCATTGTGCGTGTTGGTCCGCCCCTTCCCTGTGTCACAGCGCAGCAGGTGGTTGGGCAGCCGCCTGTCTGGGATCGCTGTCTCCTTGCGGCAGTCACACGCGCCTGGAGCTGAGGAGGGTAGCCCCATCCGGAATTGCAGCGCATGCGCAAAGTGAGCAAGGGCAAGCCGTAGTGTCGAGTTGAAGGGGACTGCATTGAGCCAATCTCCTGCCCCATACCCTGAGAGTGAGAGCATGCGCTGAGTGTGCCCGCTCATTGGGTTGAGAGGCATGATGCGTGTAGCCTGCACCTGCTCCGCGTAGCGCAGTCCGTGGACCGCGATTGCCAGCCCGTGCTGCAGCTTGACGCCCTTGGGATCAACTCGGTCGCTCTGCAGCAGCTCCTTCCCATCATCCGGCAGTGACTCCTCACACCTCTCCAGCCAGTCAAAGAGCGGGGACGTGTTGATGAAGGGCCCCACCATCTGGGTGCGCGTTTCCGCCAGGGCGCCGACCGCCGACTCATCAATGGAGGTGAGCAGGAGCTGCGCTTGCGTGTAGCTTGCGAGAAACCCAACACGTCCCTCCACCGAGGGGTCTGTGAGACCTAAACCGCCGAGCGAGATGGGGAGTGACGCTTGCGCCCAGGTACGTGAAATCTCGGCCTCCCCCCGTGGGTGGCAAATGCCGCAGGCATCGAGCAGTGTCTCAAACAGCCTTTTACCCCAGTCTGACCACTCCTCGACTGGCAGGGCTGAAAGCGGCGTGGTGCGGGCGACGTAAGCGATCCTTCGTGAGATGCACTGAGAGAGCAGAAGGGAAGCCAGCTGTGGCTCCATCCGCGCTATTAAGGGCAACGGCCCGCCCATGGTGTCGAGGCTGGCACGTAGGAACGCGGCAGTTGCGTCACTGCCATCGATGAAACTGCCAAGCACCTTCACCCCATCTTCAGTGAAAGGTACGCCCACTGGTAGCGCAGCTCCCTGTCGGCCTGCCTGGGACCAGGCTGCGCATTTGGCGGGGTTGTGGCGCAGCCCAATCTCCCCAAGGTTTCCTGTTAAGTCCTCAAACGCTGCTGCACACGTGGCTGCATCTCCAAGGAAAGTTACGTCGTCCGCATAGGCAAGACAGACGACAGAGGGGAAGGTGAGCGCTGTTTTCGTTAGTGCAGGGTGTATGGCGGCAGCGAACAACAACGGGCCGAGGGGATCTCCCTGACGCACCCCGGTCTCGCTCAGCAGAGGTGGGTGTGAGAAGCCAGCATCCAGACATAGAGCTGAGGGAAGGCCGTACAGCAGTTTAACTAACGGTAAGAGCGAGGCGAGGGTGGAGTCCCGAAGAGATTTGATGATGGCGTCGCGGTTGACGCTGTTAAATGTGTTTGCCAGATCAGCGTGCAGGACCAAAGCTCCTGTGTTCACCGTGAGGTAAGTGCGTGAGATGTGGATAATCGCTTCCGCCCCACCAGGGATAGCCACGCCGAACTGGTGCGGTAGGAAGAACTCACGGGCGGCCCCTACGGTCAAGGTAAGCGCCGTCTTGGCCGCGAGGCGCGTTATGCTTTCGCCGATGGCGATCGGCCGCGTCCCCCCATCGGGCTTGCTCAGGGCAATTAATCTCGAGGCGGTGAGGAGCTCAGCCACTGCAGGAGGTAGGTTTCCCGTGAGAATCGTGTTGACTAGTGCGTGAAGGTGCTTCCCAACGGAGTGGTTGATCAGCGCTGCATCGCGTAAGTGTTCAAACGTGGTTCCAGAGGGGCCCGCTCCTACCCCCATCTCGCAGCTTCCCAGCACCTTGGAGAAGACTACAAATGGTGCTGATAGGTGGGGGTCAGGTGCTGGAAAAGTCCAGTCAGGTGGGGAGGCGGGCGCTGGTGGGTGTTTGGCGCGCAGGGCCTCCAGCACAGTTGGGGAGGGAATGCTGACTGGCGTGGCTTCCAGTGCCATCACGGCTCGTCGTAGGCTGCCACGTCGTGCCAACCCCTCTGCCCTAGCGATGACACCAATGTCATCGGGCTGGTGTCTAGGTGGTTGGGGCCACGTCAGTGAGCCCACTGTCTCATTGTATAGCTTATCCCACTCCCCGGACAGAAACTGACGAAGGCGGGCACTGACGGCCTTCCAATCTGGACGTCGTGGGGACAGCTGGCGAAGTGTTAAGCGCGCCAAGAATAGAACGACCGTCCAAGCAGAGGTAGAGTCTGGATATTTCGCCAAGCGCAGCAGCGGCGCCAACAAGGCTGTGGCGAAAAGCTTGCGTGGGTCTGGAGGGAGGTGGCGGGAAAGGGGTGCGTGGCGAGAGTCGCGTAGTTTCGTGAGATCCCAGGCTACAACGCTGGCGAATAGCGTGTCGTCCTTGGCGAGAGTTTCTGGGGATTTTTCCTCTAAGGGTTGGGTTGGGACGTGGTTACTGCCAGGTGCAGGTTGGGGGGCGGTGTGGGTAGGGGTCTGAATGTTGGAAATCGGGGTTGGGATTGGTGGAGTGGCGAAATTTCCCGATGCAGCACGGGTTGGTGTTGGGGGACCCCTCTTGTTGGATCTCACTGCTGAGTTTCCCCCCGGCAGGTGAGTTGCGGCTGGCCTGCTCGCTCGAGCAGGGGTCTGTTGCTGCTCGTCTTCCAGTGACTCAGAGCTAGAGGTCGAGTCCGTAGATTCTGCAGCTACAAAGCTGCCGTCTGAAGTGGTTGAATTATTATCGTTGCTCATCTCAGTTAAAGCCCTCCGTCCCGCCTGCTGGTACACGTTCTCCGGACCGCCTCCTCGAGCCCTCCCGCCACGCCCAGCTGCTCGCCCTCCCCGGCCTGCAGCTCTACCTCCGCCGCGCCGGCCGCCCGTTGGGCGAGCGCTATCATCCCTCTGCTCCGATGGATCTCCTGACTGCTCCTGAGCGCGGGTGTTCCGCGGTGAGCGATCTCGCTCCCCGTCCGCTTCCTCCAGCACGTCCTGCCGCGAGCGTCCCTGTCGCTCCGATGGCTGCCGCCGATCAGATTCGTCGTCGTTTCGAAGATCAGCGGCCCGCGCCGGCGCCTGCGTGTGCGGAGTCCGTCGTGCGCTCCGACGCAGAGGCTGCGGCGCGCCGGGAACGTTCGCCTCGTCGCCGATCGACAGTGGCGCGTGGTGACGGGCAGGAGAGCCACCGTGCGGAGCGTCACGCCGAGCCTCGGTCGCCTCGGAAGCCGCGATCACCGCACTCACCACGTTCACCGCGCCGCGCGGCATCGAGGAGCCGATCTCCGGACCGCCGGTCGCGTCGTCACCGTTCGCCCGGTCGCCAAGCCACACACTATCGATCGCCTGCTCCGCACGTGTCTCGCCCGCGGTCCCCATCTGCGCGTTCGCCGCGGCCGTCAAAGCGCCAGCGGCTCTACTCTCCTCATCACGGGGGCCGATCCCCTGTTCGCCAGCGCCAACGCGTCCCATCTCGCCAGCAGTCGCCCGCTCACTTGAATGCAAGTGGACGTGGGCGTCGTGGGCAGCGGGGAGGGTATGGACGCGGCAGAACTGCGCGTCAAGCGCCGTCCGGGCTTGAGCGCGTTCTCCGAAGGTTGGACGGCGTGGAGAAAGCGCTCCACCGCTCGAACGCGGAGGCGTCATCCCATTCCGTGCCGCCGGCTGGCCCCGTCGTTCCTCTTGCTGCCCTCCTGCCGCACAACCCTGAGGGCTCCCTTGCGCGTCCTGGTCGTCCGCTGCCAGCAGGGGCTGGCTTCGTGGGCGCAGGTGGTGGGGATCCCTGGGCCGCGTATGCACCCCTGCGTCCTCGCTCCCCTCCACATGATCTCGCTGTGTCGTCCCGCCGAACGCGCGCCGCTGGTGTCCTTCCGCCGACGAAGGAAGTGCCCACGGTGACCCTGGCGCGCTTGTGGTCGCTGGCGGAGAGCCTGCAGAGCCTTGAGCTGATACTCCTGGAGTCCCATGGCTCCATGGCGGTGACCCCACCGAGCACATTCTCTCAGATGCCACGAGCACGGTGTCATGCGGCGGCGTCAGCGCTATTCTCGTACGTATCGCCACTGCAGGTTGCGCCCTCGCCGGGAGTAGTCTCGGCCACCCAGCTGGCCGAGAAGGCCCTGGATCTGAAGACGCTTGTTGGATCTCGCGGAA